CAGTCCCTTAGCACTTAGCAGGAGGCAAATGTATACAAAATGAATCTGGTTAATGCTTATATATTATGTTCAAAAATGAGTTAGTCATTAATTAACAAATTTAAAGGACTTTACCAGCTAAAGCACTCTTCCAATATTTTCAGCACATGCAATTTTTCAATAGACAATGGGAACAAAATATGAATGTTCCCTTCTGTGTGTATATGTCGTTGTTATTTTAGTAGTATCATTTTGGTACACCTGCTGTTGATGTGTACCAAATTAGTGCAGTTCAGTTCTATTCAGTTTTCACACTACACAACTGTCTGACATTCTGACAATGCTAGACGATGAACACCAAAATGTAATCAGCCTCAGGTAGTGGGACTTATAATGTACTTAGAATTATAATTTACTCTTTACAGTATAAATATCCCTGTGCAGTGGGACAATGGAAACAAAAATGAATATTCCCCTTTGTGTACATGTCACCATAAAGTGTCTATGATGTCACTTTTATCAGACCATTCCCCAGGCTGACTCCAGCACTATAAGATGTAAGTGGCTGTTTAGAACTACAAGTTTACTGTGCATGCAACTGCATCTCTTTGTATGAGTCCTGATTTATTATAGTCTAGTATTCCAATGATTGTAGGCTCAGGACTGTATGGTTTGACTAGTCACTGTAGGTCAGTTTTGGTACACCTGAGCCAATCAGATAATATCTATGAGTGGGAGTAAACTTACTCAGTTACTCACCACACCTACCACCCACGACACGTGTGGTCGTGTGCTTGGCAGCTCCAACATGGTGGTAGAGATCATTGCTGAAATTTTAAGCATTCCAGAGCCAGCAGCACGCTTTCTTTTTGGACTCTGATTAAGTACAAGATAGTTATAGTATCAGCAAGTTACTGACCTCTTCCTATTTTAGCTTACCCGCTGGCATTTATTTATCGTCCACTCATAATACCCTATGCATGCTATGCTTCAAAGAACACTCAGGTGGGCTTGCTTACCTCTTATATACATATACTATTAATTATTTTATTTGTAGAGTATTATTTGTGCTGTTGGTGGGTTTGCTTTGCTACAGTATGTTTTTGGTGAGAAATGTTACACAACATGTAACATGTTGATTAGTGCTGTTTGTAATTCTTTTCTCAGCTAGGCTTGTCTGCTTCTTTTCATTTTATGTTGGATGTCATTCTCGTCTATTGTGTTTTTTTTATTATTTGGAAAAGGGAGAGTCTCTCTATTACTTGGATTATTACTATGGTACAGCTATTTGCATAGACCTTGCAAACTGCCAAGTAGGTGTAA